AGTTTGCAGACATGGCTACTTTGGCAAATCCCCTGGACCAAAGGTCTGTATGACACTGACAACTCACTGGGGTTATAGTGATGGGGGAGGGCACCAGGACTTTAATTGACGATAAGAGGTTGCTAGGGTTAAGGAGATGCTCAAGGACTTGAGAGAAAATTTGTCACAAATAACCACTCAGTGGCCACCCTTGCCACCTCTCCCACAGAGACCCAACCCACCTCGCCTCTCATGCCCTGACTGGCTTTCATATATCTCTTCTGTCGACCAGCTCCTCAAGTCTTCTGATAGCTCTCTGGTTGATGGTTGCTGAATTTGTTCCACCCTGTTGCCTTCCTTTACAACTATCGAAGTCCTGACAAATTCTACTCCTGGACCCACCGATGAGACTTTTCCCTTACTTACTAATCTCCCTCACCCAAAAAACCTACACCAGTGCTTCAGTCTAACCTCGTCATTATCTCCTGACCCACTCTCCCCAAACCCTTTTTTCAACTCCACTCTCTGTAATTCCATGACCCCTATAAAAGCCGGGAGATTGCTTAACTGGAGGTCACTTCCTCCAGTGCCGGGAGCTCCCTATTCCGCAACATCAACACTGAAGATTCATTTCTATTTCAAAGCTTAAATGTTCCTTAAATCTTATATTTTCAGGGTGCTCTTTATTTTTTATTTTTGAAGGTTTTTATTTAATGAATACAAATTTTCATATGTACAGTTTTTAGGGATACAGTGTTTCTTCCCCCCCCATCCCCGCCCTCCCACTCACTCCCACTCCAATCCTACCTCCCACTCCCTCTCCCATTCCATTTTCCATTAAGATTCATTTTTAAGTGACTTTACATACAGAAGACCAACTCTATACTAAGTAGAAATTTCAACAGTTTGCACCCACACAGAAACACAAAGTATAAAGTACTGTTTGAAGACAAGTTTTACCGTTAATTCTCATAGTACAATTTATTAAGGACAGAGGTCCAACACGGGGAGCAAATGCACAGTGACTCCTGTTGTTGATTTAACAACTGACACTCTTATTTATGATGTCAGTGATCACCCAAGGCTCTTGACATGAGATGCCAAAGCTATGAAAGTCTTTTGAGTCCACAAACTCCATTGGGTTTTAGACAGGGCCATGTGCAAAGTGGAAGTTCTCTCCTCCCATCAGAGAAAAGTACATCCTTCTTTGATGGACCCTTCTTTCCACTGGGGTCTCACTCACAGAGACAAGATGCTCTTTAAATCTTATTATTTTTAGGATAAGTATATAGTTGTTTTAACACTAAGCAGAGTTTCAAGATGCTTATTCTATTATTAGAAACAGCATCTACTCAAATCAATTTATTTTTTGGCAAATAAATTGATAAGATCCAGAGGTGCTGTGAATTCTGCAAGTTCACACAATTAAGAGTATATTTAGAAATACAGTCTGCTTTGTGTGTCTCAGTTAAATTTCTTTCCAGAAGACTATCTAAGTCACTCCTCACCCCATTGAATTCTATAAGTTAGAAAAATTATATTGGTTAATATTTAATATTGAAACTAGCACCCAAGGAGCAGGCAGTGCAATTCCATGGGTTAAGCCTCTTCCTGCAGCATCAATATCACATATGGGTGCCCAGTCCAGTCCCAGCTGTTCCACTTCTGATTCACCTCCTTCCCAATGCACCTGGAAAAGCAGCAGAGGGTGGCCCAAGTACTTGGGACACTGGCACCAATGTGGGAGACCTGGAAGAAGCTCCTCGCTCCAGCCTGGCCCAGCCCATCCTTCTGACCATTTTGGGAGTGAACCAGTGAATGGAAGATCTCGCTCTCTCATTCTCTTCTTCTTTCTCTTTTTCTCTTCTTTTTCTT